CCCTCGCGCGTCTGGCCGCAGTCGTTCCTACCGGACGACATCTTCTACTGGCTTCAACATGAGCCCGCGTTCGGCAAGCAGGCGATCTACCTCGATGAGCGCGTCGATACCGCGGCCGGATACCAGCAGGCTGTGGACGGAATGGCCGAGCTCGCTAAGAAGGGCGTGAAGATCATGGCCCCGCCCATCTTTGCGCTGCTGAACACCACCGCGGATGGGGAGATCGTGCCGTCGGCATATGCAGTTGCGGCGAAGAAAGCCGGGCTGGATATCATCACCTGGTCGCTGGAGCGGTCGGGCCCCCTGAAGGCCGCTGCCGCCAAGGGAGAGTACTATATCCAGTCTGTCAAGTCGACAATCACCGGGGACGGGGATATGTATCGCATTGTGGATGCGTTGGCACGAAAGGTGGGTGTCAAGGGGATTTTCTCGGATTGGCCGGCCACAGTGACGTATTATGCTGCTTGTATGGGATTTGCCTAGATTCGCTTATACTGTACGATAGACTAGCTAGATTCGTTCCTTCGGATTCCTGCATTGGCTGAGGGTTTCACGTATAGTGATGCTCGAGGGTACGGGAGTACGACATCCTCAACCTCTCATGACTAGAAATATATCCCGAATCAAAATCATCTATACGAGCATCTCGGCATGTGAGACGTCCTCACGTCAATGATTCCTGGGTAATCTCGAAACAATGATGAAGCTGTCTAATTCTGCAGCCGTTGTGAAGGCTTAAGTCTTTGGCCAAGCATTCGTGGAATTATCCCCTGTAACACCGGAAGCAAAGTCACCTGATTGGCCACGTGCCTCGGGCTCTTGCAAAGATTTTTATTCCAGCCAATCAGACAAGCAGAAACCTGTCTGCCAAGAAGCTGCTAATATCGCTTAGACTCTGTTTGGTAGTTCATCTTGTGTCCTTGTTTAGCGTCAAGTTGTCAACGGAGTCAACAAAAGGTTGGTCATCCACTCTGGCGTTGCCTGAAAAGAGGAGAAATCGCTAAACATTTCCTCAATGATCAATCAAACAAGCCTCTGTGCTCCGTTATATCCGTCTCTTCCGAATAGTCCGTTCTGTATCTATCTCAGTCCGAAGAGGCCAACAGTGAAACGCCAAGAATGATCTGACAAGGCCTCGTCATCGCGTGGGGATCTGTGGACGCACAAGCGGCGAGATCGTCCTCCCAGCAATCCTGCCATCAGCATTGGAGTCCACTAATCATCTGGGAACGAACGTAATGAAGACTGAATCAGTCTCGGCAACGTACCTGATCAACAGCTCCTCATTTCCCCTTTTTGAAATTATACAAGCCTTACGACTGTCTCAGTCTGACAGGCGGTGATGGATCTGACCCGCATTTTCTTGTCTTATCACTCTGTCGCAACATTAATTGACACTCCCAGTGTCTTTCTCTCCCCCCTCGACTTTTCAAGTCTCTCACGATGCTGCGATGGGCGTTAGCATTATTGTTGCCGCTCGTCCTGCATAATGTGGCCGCACAGCAGCATGATGAGGATCTCATGTCCTTTGTGACGGTAGGCTACTTATGTTTCTTTCTTTTTTTCTCCGCCTCACAAACCGCTGCGAGAGATCGATCACCGTGCTAATACGAGATCTGCCACCCCCAGCTTCCTCAAGTACGAGCCTTGAAATTTGACGTCCACTACCAGGATCGCGACCGTGTGAGTCCTGGCTATTGGTTCGTTGCTCCATATGGTCAGATCGAGCCCGAAGCGCCGACCCATCGATTCGAACAGTATCAAGTTGGACCGTATATCTACGATGGCGACGGCACTCTCATCTGGGCTGGATCGCCCATGTTCGATAATCGGAACGTTTTTGATTTCAAAGCGGTCCACAGTATCGGGGATCAGCCGCATCTCTCGTTGGTTTGGCAGCATTCATGGGATTATGAAGACCAGGGCCATGGTGTGATTCTGAAAAACAACTATGAGATTCAAAACCAGCTCCCTTTTCGTCCGGATTTGGGCTCCTTCGATATTCACGAATTCAATATTCTTGATGACGGCAAAACAGGCCTGGCGATGACATATCGAGAGCAAGAGATCAGTCTGGAGGATTTTGGGCGCCCTGAAGAGCGAACTGCGATCCTGAGCGGTGGATTCGTGCGGCTGGATCTCAACACCGCGGACATCTTGTTCGAATGGGACTCCCTCAACCAGGTTCCCTTACACGAGTCGGTCCACTATGGCCCCGACTCGCCCCCGGAAGGGCCTCCCGGCTGGGACTATGTGCATGCCAACTCGGTCGACAGGAATGATGCGGGTGATTACATTGTGTCCTTTCGCTTCACCAACACCATCTACATGGTCTCTGGGGTGGACGGACGCATTTTGTGGCGGCTCGGAGGCCAGCGGAGCGACTTCGTGCAGGATTTTACCTTTTCCAAACAGCATGACATCAAATTCGTCGAGTCCAACGGCACTCACCACATCATCTCCTTTCTCAACAACGCCTCCGACGAGGATACAAATGACGAGCCCGTTTCCTGCGCTCTGATTGTGGAGCTCGACACCGGTGCACAACCCATGACGGCCAAAGTCATCCGGCGCTACAATCGCCCTGACGGGGGGCTGACCCGGCTGCGTGGGAACTCGCAGCTGCTTCCCAACAACAACATTTTTGTCGGCTGGAGTGAACGTGGGTACATCACCGAGTTTGCCCCCGAAGGCGAGGTCCTGCTAAGCGCGATGTTCAACTCGACTCGCTTCTCGACCTACCGTGCCTATAAGTTCGAGTTCACCGGCCGGCCCAACACGCCTCCTGACCTCGTCGCCTCAGTTGCCGGGACCGACGCATCCGATCTCGTGACGACGTTTTATGTCAGCTGGAACGGGGCCACCGACATTGCGCGCTGGAAATTTTACGCGCGCGCCGCAGCCAACGCCCCGCCGGTGCTCATTGGAAACACCACCAAAACGGATTTTGAGACCATCTATATCGCCCACGGATACCTGGACTGGGTCTCGGCCGAGGCGGTCGACCACGCCGGCAACGTCCTGGGGGTCTCGCGGGTTCATCAGAGCCGTGTGCCAGGCGACTGGGCCGCAGCCGGGTTCAAGGGCGAGTTGGCCGAACTGCGTCCTGCCGACCCGTACACTTTGTACTCGCAGAAAGAAGCCGACCAGCAAGGCACAACCGTCCCTGCTGGTGTCGACGAAGCAGATACAAGCGGTAACAGCAGTATCACGCCTGTCGACACTGATGCGAAGGAGGCCCTCCGGATGGCGCACGAGACGTATGAACTGGTCCGGGATTTTGGGGCTCTGATTTCGACGGTGCTGCTCCTGTGTCTTGTGGCTGGGATCGCGGCCTGTGTGTATACGGTGCTCCGTCGGCGGCGCCCGAAGTCATACCAGCATGTTCCGAGCGAGGAGGGGCTGCCAGAGGAGCAGATCCGGCTCCGGTCTACGACTCATGAGTGAGCGTTTTGTACATTCTGTATATAATATGTTTGCATTCGATACCTCAACTTTCCTACGATGATATGTGCCTATCTGCCGTCCACAGCGATAGGATAGAACGATCATCCTGTAAGCCATTGCCTCGACCAAATCTTGAATAATTTAGAAGAATGACATGAGCATCAATATACCCTCCGGCTGCGTTCAACTTCCCATCAATCTACTCCTGCGGGCAAAAGATTAATTGCTTCACCCCTGGAGCCGACTTCGACATCGTCAACGACCTCGCTGCATCTTCATCATCTTCCACCCACACGCATGTTCTCACAGCTGTAGATGCCTGTTACTGATATCCCTCCCCGAAACAGTCGATATGGGCTGATCTCTATACGCAAGTCTGATTGGCTGTTGGGATATATGACAGTGCCAAGAGATCAGTTTTTTATTCTAGCCAATCAAATCATCCGATTCAGTCCTTTTCGCTGCTGACAATTTGCTCTGCTTGAGTCATGGACAATAGCAGTACAGAGTATATAAAGTAAAATGCCCGATTGCCCATTGCGATTGCAATCTACGTCTCAAGCTCATCTCATTTAATAACTACAATCCATAGTCAAAATGCTCAACCTCTCCCTCCCCACCGCCCTTGTCCTAATCGACAACCAAGCGGTCTTCTCCCACCCAACCTACTGGGGCACCTCGCGCTCCAACCCCAACTACGAAACCAACCTACAGTCTCTCCTCGATGCCTTCCGCACAGCCCGACGAACCAAACCCGCCCTCCCCCTAGAAATCATCCACGTCTTCCACTCCTCCACCTCCGCAACCAGCCCGCTCCATCCCGCCGACCCCAGCAAAGGCGCCCACCCGCTGGATTTCGCGCAGCCTGCCTCGGACAATTCAGAGCCTGTTTTCTGGAAGAACGTCAACTCGTGTTTCATCGGGACGGGGCTGGAAGGGTATCTCCGGGAGAAAGGGATCAGGCAGGTGCTATTTGCGGGGCTGACGACGGATCATTGTGTGTCGACGACGGTGCGGATGGCGGCGAACTTGGGGGTTGTGGATGTTTATCCGGAGGGACGGCCGGAGGTGTTGGCGGATGGGAAGCAGAGTGTGAAGCCGGTGGAGGAGGGGGTTGTGGTGCTTGTTAGCGATGCGACGGCGACGTGGGCCAAGGGCGGGTTTGATGCGGAGACGGTGCATGCGGTTTCGGTGGAGAGCTTGAGGGGGGAGTTTGCGGAGGTGATGAGTACGAGCGAGGTCGTGGATTGGTTGGCTGCTGGAAATTCCTAGAGTTAGGGGAAGGATAGGTAAAGGTAGTCGAGGAAACCAAAAGAGGGAGTATTCGCCACTGAGCAGCTGTGGCATGACAGCTGCGGAGATCTTTAGGTTATTGTATACATGGATACCTCGGGGTCACCACCTGGGAACCAATGATGGATTCGTGTACCAGCGTCCTGACATCATCATGATTGAACGATATATATATGTATATATATAAAAGAATATGGTGACCTTTGTCTCCTCAGCTTATGTGTACTAAGAAAATGATACCTATCTAGTGAACCCGTATCATGTCTTTGAGACCCATCATCACTACTATCCGGACCTCTGTCCGCTTCAGACCCCTCCCCCTCCTCAGAGCCTATCATCCGCCGGAATATCATTCCAACAAGGGCGATAAATGCAAGTCTCTCCTCACAGCCAGCAGCGTATCACCACTAATCCATGATAATGTAGTCTACATCCCGCCCCAATTCCCCGACAACTTTGAACTTCCCTCAGTCATCAAGGAGAAAGACAGCAAGGGCCATGAGAGATGGGAGGAGGTTGACTCGACACTAAGCGAGGCATCGGTCAAGGCAGATCGGGGCGATGTCCAATTCGAGGTGAAGCAGAAGGAGATGAAGAGTAAAAAGAAACAGCCGGATTTGGAGCCTGAACCGAACTTTAACGATATGTGATGTCGGAACAAGTGTTTCTATATGTCTGTCTGCCTCGTCTGCGACTGCGACTGCGATGGAGAATGTAACCGTATTGATGTCTATCTATATCTATTGAAAGTGAACTAATTAAGCTGTCGTTTCAATCTCATGCACTTCCACCTTCCTGTCTACCTGGACATCTCGAGCATGCTGCCCCGGCGCCACAGTTCGGCCTCCCTTGGACGTCAAGTCACCCCCTGTAACTCCCCCTTGCAAAGAGTAGCGGGATGTCCTCCAGCTCCAGCCCCTTAGTTTCGGGATAGAAGCAGTAGACCATGGGGATGAATGCGCCGCAAAAATAATGAATGTTTTCCCTCCGATGTTCGCTATTCCGTCAGTATTTGTGATACAAGTACAGGAAGATGGAGGTGACCTACCAAACGCAGTCGGCGTAATCTTCACAACCGCAAAAACAGCCATCCAGTTCCACCCGGACGCAATCGCCTGCATCTTCGTGCGCACCGTGGTATTGATCTCCGCCGGATAGAACCACGGCACAGGCAACCAACCGACCCCATAGAACAGCTGGAAGACATAAATGAACGCGGTGGCACCGTACGCCGCGCCCTCACGCTCGAGCGAGAGCAGGAGCGAAACCATCACGAAACACAGACACAGGCCGGCCGAGCACACCATCAGCAGCGTGGGGCGGCCGAAGCGGTCCATCAGGAGGACGGGGATGGCGCTGCCGACGAGATAGGTGCACTGCGCGGCGCCGCTGAGCACGAGCTCCAGGTTGCGGCTCATGTGCATGTTCTGCTGGAACTATCACCCCGATGACAGTAAGATTTCCCTACAGGCAGGCCAAGACGGACGACGATCATCAGAAGCTTTCTTGGTTTTCCTTGAGGAGACAGAGAAGTCTATGGAGACAGCTGTCATAGTGCACGTGCACATCCTCTGGACCCTCGGGGTAATGGTTCCTGAAATGCGGAGGTCCCGAGTCCGGGGAAAATGTTGCCCGAAATAAAGACTGGCTTGAGGATAATGACAAATGTGAGGTAAATGGTACTATATCGCAGATTGAATTATTGAACACTGGATATTAGGCTACTAGAGCGAACTATGTTGATTACTGTGAAAGCTTGTGCTATGGCTGAAAGAAGCTTTGTGGCTTGTCTTACCTAGTTTAATATAGCAGAATGTGATCATATATTAGCCAAGAAAGCCACTACTCTAGACAACCATCTTCGAATAGATACTGAACCCCGGCAGAATGTTTGAATGAAAGAGCGAGAATCAACACTGTGGACAAACTAGCTATACCAGCTACGTACCATGACAGAGAACCAGCTTTCTGATTGGCTGCACGAGGCAAGAGAAAGATCCAAGCGACAGCTAAGAAACAGTGATAGAAGCAGACCCGCTGCTCTGGTATCCCTCCGTCGCAACAATCATGTAGTTAAAGTCTCCCAGCTCCAGACCCGCCTTGGCCCATGCATCAAAGTGGTTCTTCGTCGTCACAGTCCCGCCCACCCGGTTCGAAGTCCGAACAGACCAGTACTGGTTGAAGGTTGCCGTGCCCTGGATCGAGGGCGCATTCTCGCGGGTCGTCTTGTAGATGTTGTAGGTGCCGCCGTCGCTCTCGACGCTGCCGAGCAGGGTTGCCCCAGTGGAGGGGTTATAGGAGCCGTAGCTCTCCACGATGTAGTATTCGACCAGCGGGCTGGTGGTCCAGCCATACACGGAGAGGTAGCTGTTTCCGCTGGGCTTCCAGGTGCCGCTGTACGTGACCGTTCTGCATCCATTAGCATTGGACCTAATAAGCAGAGAGGAGAAAGCTTACTTCGCACTGGCTGGGTTCCAACCCTTTCCAGCGACGAAGTTGCCGCAGTTAGTCCAGTCGACGCTGTACTGGCCGCCGTTGCCGTTGGTGTAGGTCACCTCACCGCCGCCGTCGGTCCAGAAGGAGTAGTAGTAGCCGTTGTTGGTGCCGGTCTGAGAGGTGGTGAGCTGACGTTTGGCTAGCTCGACGTATTTCTCCGAGCCTGGCGCGGCCAGCACGCCAGCGACGGTGGAAAGAACAAGAGCGAGAGAAGAGAAGGAGACCATATTGCAATGATTGCTTGATTGCTTGATTGCTTCGATGGTGAAGAGGAGGTCCTGGTGGCGAATTTATGGCTTAAGTATTCATGGCTTCAGCGGATTTCAGCCGATGAAGGGATTACGAATCCGTTTGTCAATGTGAATCTCATGATTTCAGGTTAATTGTTTCGTTTCATGTTGTGATCAACACCCACTTTTGCCGGTGGGCCGTTAGATATTATAACTGGATTGAAGGAGTGATCGGCAGAATCGTCTCAGTTTCGCCGAGATATGAATCACCTGGAGCATTCTATTCGTCTCAGGAGGAGTGCAGACATGACAGGAAGATGGCTGTGTCGTATGATGATCTCTCACCTGTGACAATATAAAAGATAAACCGCATTCTCTGGTTCTCATTTAAGCTTATTAATTGCCAAGGATAGGCTTGAGCACTGTAGAGTAACACCTGGACATCAGTTTCATGCGTGTCTCAGAATAAGCATCAAAAGAGCCATAGAATGCGGGGCAGATGAAGTAACCCCGGATTTGCCGGCTGTACAAAAAGTGATCATTGAATATACTTTTACCGGAGAAACGACCTCTGAGCAGTCCAATTATCCTGCATAACGCCCATTGACATGGGCCAGAATAGCCTGTATTCTGCCGCCAGTCGTGACGCTGCATGGAACTTTAGCCGAGTGTCGATCGGTGAGAGAAACCTCGTCGGCAAAAGTGACAGGGCTAGATCTTATTTCTGCCTTGTTTTGAGAGTGTACTAACTGGAATGACAAACAGGTATTTTGGTTTTGACCTTGAAGCCGAGGATATTAAGTTGACATCTTGCGCGGCCCAATCTTCCCATTTCTGTAATGACTTGGATCAATCTCTGCCGCAGCTATTGAGGCTATATACCATAGCAATTCGTGATGCATCGTTTATCGACATATTGAGTGAAATGATATGAGACGGATATTCAAAGATCTAGGGCTGCAGACATATTCAGTTCATTTATCATGTACCTTCATATAAATTAATGAGTGCATACATTATAATCCCCCATTCTCTGTTTTCACCGCAACATATGGCGCACCGACACGATTTAGCACCTTGACCTCTCGTGGCTTGAGATACAACGGCGCCGTCGCCGCAAAATAATCCTTATAGTACGCTTTATTGGCTTGGACCTAGCCAGTATCAGATTCTGCAAAATTCCCTCCTTATGACCAACGAAACGTACCTCAATGATCCATTCCTTTGGTTTTGACCTGTCTCCGTCAGCTAAGCTTTTGCGTATCATCCGCAGACTACCTACCAGTTTTCCACCCATGTGATTGTCCCCGGATTCTCAGGGTCTTGATAGACCTCGAAGAACGTGCATTCAGGCTCTGCGATGACATGCTCGTATACTGGCTTAAAGGCTTTCCAGAATATAGGAAGATTCGCTGGGTCAATGTAGACAGTCATGTGGAGGGAGATGCCTTGGAAGATCGTCATGTTGCAGACGAGAGATGATTGTGAGTGTTAATGGTCGTGATCTTTGTCCGATTGACTGTCTGGATAGCCTCAAGTATTTATTCTAGAGATTAACGTTGAGGTGGTGATGATTGACTCTCAAGTGTCAGACATAACGTTATGCTGGCGCTTGGCGTCAACAATACGGTTTGATTACTGCCGAGACAATAGACCTGGCATGGGATTACTCAACGATTGCCATGCCATGTTTCTAGATCCGAGAACTGTCCAGAGAAGAGAATGAATATTGCAAACAGATTGCTTTATAGCTTCATTATGCAGCTCTATCGCTGATGTTGATCGTAAGGAGTGACACATTCGGTATTACATGAGTGAGAGACAGGAAAAAAGAGACGCAGGCTCCAATGATAATTGGAGGCGCACAGATATAGACACAGACACAGGACAGTCAGACAGGTATTAGAAAAGTACAGCAGGACAGGATGGACATTGTCTTTTCACCTCCTTCACTCATCGCAGTCCTCGGAGTCATCACCGCCCGCGGACGAGTCATCGCCTGAGCCAGCGTCATCACCGCACTCGTCGCAGCCGGAGTCACCATAGTCGTCGCCGTTGTCAGAGCCCGACCCACCAGTCGCAGAGGCGCCAGCCGAGGCGCTAGCACCGGCACTGGCGGAGGCGGAGGCGGAGGCAGAGGCAGAGGCGCCGCCGCTGCTAGTCGCGGTGCCGCCGATGCTGATACCGCCAGAGCTGGAGCCAGAGCCAGAGCCGCCTGCGTTTCCACCGGCAGAGCCGCCAGCAGAACCAGAACCAGAGCCAGAGCCAGAACCTTCGGTCGAGCCGGAGCCGGAGCTAGAGCCAGAGCCGCCTGCACTTCCACCGGCGGATCCGCCAGCAGAACCAGAGCCAGAGCTAGAGCCAGAACCCTCGGTCGAGCCGGAGCCGGAGCTAGTGCCAGAGCCGCCAGCAGAGCCTGTGGCGGAACCTCCAGTAGAACCAGAACCAGTAGCAGAAGCGCCAGTGTCACCACCTGCCGAGCCACCCGCGGAGCCTCCAGCAGTGCCAGAAGCGGAACCACCTGCCGAGCCACCTGCCGAGCCACCCGCGGAGCCTCCAGCAGAGCCGGTAGCAGAACCTCCGGGAGAACCAGTCGGGGAGCCACCAGCAGGTCCACAGGAAGAGCCTTCTTCGCAGCCACCAGCGGAGCCCCCTGCTGAACCTCCAGCGGAACCACCGGCCGAGCCAGATCCTGTAGCAGAGGCACCGCTATCACCACCAGCGGAGCCGCCAGCTGGTCCACAAGCAGAGCCTTCGGCGCAGCCACCAGCGGAACCCCCTGCTGAACCTCCAGCGGAACCTCCAGCGGAACCACCAGCAGAACCACCGGCCGAGCCGCCTGCAGAACCACCAACACTCACTCCTCCTTCACCATTTTCATCACAGTCGTCGCCGGAACCAGCGCTGCCGCCGAGTCCACCACCAAGGTGACCACCCAGTCCACCCCCGAGATGACCCCCCAGTCCACCACCCAAAAGGCCACCCAATCCACCGCTGGCGCTAGCGGAGCCACCGGCTTCACCTTCGCAGGCTTCGCATTCAGATGATCCGCCAAAACCGTGGGAGAGCAGACCAGACAGGAGGCCAAAGGTACGGGCCTTCACGCGAGGTTCCTCCTTGGTGGGGTGGGAGATGGGAGTCAGGAGTTTGCTGACACGAGCCGGGGAGGCAGAATTTTGATTTTCAGGAAGAGTATGCACCGGCGCAGCCAGTGTTGAAGTCGCCGAGAGGGCGAGAAGAGAAAGAGCGAGATGCATATTGAACGAATGGAAGAACGATGGATTTTATTGAGTGAGAAGAAAAGAAACGAGAGGAAAAGAAGGAGGAGATGCTTCTACCAGAGGAGCAGTGAGTGGATTGGTGGATGACTAGGAGGAAGAAGATGGGAAGTTGAGAGGTATTTATGCATCTGTGATCGCGTCTTTGACGTTGGGGAGATATCCTTCCTGCCTTTGGAAGGCGTGATTCTATTCCCGGAGGATGAAACGATGGCGTCCAGAGGGACAGGGCTTGATAGTGAACCGAGTTTTGGACAAAGACAAGGACAGGGGATGAAACCTACTAGCACCCCGAGTTGGGGCTCCAGGGCTGATCGAGTAGCAAGCTACTTGGGGTAACATCGTTGCTACATAGTTGGTGCAGACGTCGATGCGATAGATCTGTCCACCATGAGTGTCAGTTTGTCTTAGAGATACCATGAACGAGCTCAAGGGATACGAACAGAACGAATTCGATGCTTCGCATCATGGCATTAGAACAAGACCTAGGATCCATGACTGTAGCGGACGAACCATCATCATACTCTACAGTGCAGCTTGGAGAGGACCGATCTCAAGCCCTTGTGAATAGAGTTATCCTGGTGGAGACTCCAGCCTTAGCGCGAAAGGATCAATTGAACATCGCACGAACGAGTTCTCACCCTGAACACTCCAGCTCCTGGTCAGGTCTTGATTTCGCCCAAGCTCGGGGTTTGGATCGTTTGACTCTGGCTAGATCATGCGATCACCAGGGATCCACGCCGTAGTTCAGTTTGAGATGTTCTAATTTTGGTCTTCCGATTACCCGTACCGTGCACAAATCATCGGAATGCCTTTTGGGGCAAAGAAAACGAGAAGGATCGAGATGTAACGAACTAATGATCTACCCACGAAAGCAAGCATGTATCAGGGATCCAGCGTAACATTGGAACTTGGATTCAAAGGTGACTCGAGGCCTCGGTACGAGTCTTTCTGCATGAGTTTAGTTTTCTATTGGTAGTGAGTGAGAATGATTCTGTTCAGCCTGTCTCCACACGCTGTTGTAGTAGTCCCGAACTCACCAGGTCAAGGCATGTGAGAAAACGCCAACAAGTCCCGAGCCTGGACTCCTGAGCAGTTCCTCTGTCACAAACCATGACTAGCAAGACTTGAAACTGGCTAGTTGGCTCCAAAGTGGATATTACCAAACTCCGATCTTCGACGCCAAGCACCGGACTGTTTCTTCTTTCTGCAGGAACCTTGCAGGCTGGAACTGCTCGGGGAAGATGTCTCACTCCTAGGTGACCTATCCATCGGCTCTCGATGCCGGAAAAATTATGAAGTGATGATGTCGCTGGCCCTGCTGAGGTCCCACCATGACCGTGGGAGAGTGTGCGCATGAGCAAGTGGATGAAACGCATGGGTCTGACTAGAGGTAAACAACCCCTTAATGCCAAGACCTCGCCTACTGCCCCAGAACCTTCCCCAACGTTGATCTACTTACTGATCAATAATGGGAAAATCTTGGAACTCTTGTCTATGGAGTAACATCCACTGTTTTCAGCCTTGTGCATGTTAAATCGAATCAATCACTGCTATATATAGTCATTGCTGAAACCCGACTATGCACCCGTGAGGACTTGCAACTATCCGCACCCTGGAACTTCAACATATGGCGCAATGGATATTGCCTCAAGCAATACTGATCCCGGTGCTATAATAGAGCTATAATAGATGTGTGACCGCTTAGTTTGCCTATTTGCGTAAATGTTGATTGAAAATTTGGACACTAATCCGTGGGTTTGATAGACGATCTACTCATCCTCTTCCTGTTGCAGATAAAGGGCCTAATCAACATCTTAATTCGACTACTATAACTGGAGACTGCAGGAGCAGTATATTCTCAATACAGTAGGAAATCCGGAGCTTAATGCTTGTTTAGGCTGCGATGGCTTCAGCTTCTATACCAGGACAACTGATTATTCGCCAGAATATAACTTTCCTGTAGGGCAACAACAATGGTCTATAGGATGAGCCAAAACGAGTCCATTATGATATAGTACTCAAAGGTGCGCGTCCAAGCAGGCCTTGATGTCTCATGACAAACGGGAATGACAGAGAGAAATACATGACCCGTAGCACGAAGAAATTGCCAGGGATTGTCCCAAAAATTGGACAAATGTACTATGGACTATGGGCCACAAGCGATGTTTTGCCTACTACAGCATGACCAGCCGTCCTGCCTCAGGTTGCTCCACTGCATCCGCTGGAATACTTTGAAAGGAAAGACAGACGGGATGTAGGATAGAAAGACAAGGATAGAGCAGATCAACCATGGTTATCTGAGGCTATTGCTGAAAACGTGGATATCATGACGAAAACAACCAGCTGATTTCATCCGACTTCTTCCGACGAGCATTTTTCGATATAGAATTGCTCATCATCATGTTATTCCAGTTGCTACGAAGTGCAATGTGTCCCTTCCCTACCGATATTTCAGTCCAGCCAACGGCAGAAAATGGAACCTTCAACATCAAGGGTCTCCAAGCCAAGGAGTCAGCACCGCCCAGGACTGCATAGCAAGTATACGCCTTCGTGCTCTACCATGAAAAGGTCGACGCTCTGGGAAAAGACCCAGCCACGCTCTACCGCTTGCAGGGAGCTACGTGTACGGCGCCGTCGTCGGGATCATAGCCACGATACTATGAGTAAACTGTGCTTGCGGGCAGAGAAATGATCAGCTAGGTTCCCCTACGGCTGAATGAATGTAACGAAAGCTTTAGTTAGTCTTCATATGTGGGAGGTTACAACTGTTACTGAGCAGCTAGAGCATAATTCAGATAAGATGAGTGTCATTGGTCATGAAAACTAATCATAAAAGTACATCGTCACGGCATAAATGGATATCAAAACCATTCAACTTCAAGCTTGCGAAAAGATGAGATGGGTATCATTCTTAGTAACCACGCTGGGTGCCCAGGGTACCACGGTTGTCCAAGTCGGAATCGACGCGGGGGTCCACCTTGTTCATCAGGTTGGAGTTGTGGGGTCCCGCGGTGTGAGTGGTAGTGCCAGGGGCGTGGTAGCTGCTGGAAGCGAGAGCCTCATGGCGTGCGCGGTTGTCTCTGTCAGAATCGACGCGGGGGTCCACCTTGTTCATCAGGTTGGAGTTGTGAGGACCGGCATTTGTGCTGGTGTGAGTGCCCATGCCAGTACCCATGCCGGTACCCATGCCAGTGTTCATACCAGCGCCGGAACCGTAGGCGTGACCAGTGCCGTAGGAACCAGTGGTTCCGTGGGTAGTGCCGCGGTTGTCCATATCAGAGTCAACACGGGGATCCAGCTTGTTGGCGAGGTTGGAAGAATGAGGACCTTGAGCACCTCCCATGGCCTGATGACGGGCACGGTTGTCCATGTCGGAATCGACGCGAGGGTCGACCTTGTTCATCATGTTCGAGTTATGGGGGCCGGCGTTCGAGCTGGTGTGGGTGCCGAAGGTGTTCCCGGCACCGGCGCCGTGGGTAGCGGTGGTACCGTAAGCACCGCGGTTGTCCATGTCACTGTCAACCCGGGGGTCAATCTTGTTGGCGACGTCAGAGCTGTGAGGGCCATAGGCACCACCCATGGTCTCATGGCGAGCACGGTTGTCCATGTCAGAGTCGATACGGGGGTCGACCTTGTTCATCATGTTCGAGTTGTGAGGTCCGGCGTTGGTAGAAGTCGAAGTACCGTAGGTGTTGCGGGCACCGCTGGCATAGGCGCCGGAGGTGGCTCCAGCACCAGTGTGGGCAGCACGGTTATCTGAAGGAGTCAGTAAGTCGTTAGAGAGATCGAGGCAGTTCTTCTCACCTCTGTCGCTATCAACGCGGGGATCAACCTTGTTGGCGACGTTGGAGCTGTGAGGGCCATAGGTTCCACCGATAGCTTCATGCCGGGCGCGGTTGTCCGCATCTGAGTCAACGCGAGGATCAAGCTTGTTCGCAATGTTGGACTTGTGCGGGCCGTGGGTGGTGCTGGTAGTGCCGGTAGTGCCAGTAGCTGCAGAGTGGCCATGGCCAGGCTCGATCGGGCGAGGACCGTGGGTGCTGGTGTGAGCGACCTTTTCGCCCTCTGGGCCCCGAGTTATCGTGGCGTTAGAACCAGAGCGGTGGTCTTTATTGATAGTGGTTAGCATCTGCAGAAGAGCTTGACGTGCGAACATAACATACCACGGTCGCTGTCGACACGGGGATCGAGCTTATTGGCGAGCTTGGAGCTGTGAGGGCCATGGTTGGTGGTAGTGGTATCCGTAGTGGTGTGGTGAGTGCCGTGGTGTGTACCAGTGGTATCGGAGGTGTGGGTGGAATCGTGGTGATGGCCACTAATGGCGTCCTTCACCTTGTGCACGAGTCCAGACATTATGGTAGGTTGTTCGTATCAGGGTATATTTGAGAGATAGAAAGTTCAATGATGATTGTTCGATTGTTCAATTCAGTATGCTAGTTGTTGTATGCTGAAGATGAAAGAATCTCGAGAGCATCACGAAGCTTTATATCTTCAATTCAGCCATCACAACACATGACGTCAACTCTTGATCTCATCAACTCAAATCGAGCGCATTTCATTCACTCGTGGATCCCTCCACGTCAAACTCGTCATATCAACCCCTGGAGGTACCTGAATGGAGCTGCCAGATACCGGTCTGTCAACACAAATGTCGTCATATCGACGATTCTAAGGGTCATTATGTAACCCACTTCAAGCTCAACGTCACCAGCCACAGCCTTAACGCCACAACGGTCTACTTGCTCCAGGCCTCATGTTATGATATGCCATTTCATCAATAAAACAACTCAACGTGTTAGCTGGTCTCCAGTCGATTGAGGTTGAGGAGATCTTGTATCAATTTTAGCTATGTAGCTGGGACTTTCCACCAATCGATATGGGAAGAGGGCACACGGAGCACAATCAGCTCAACCTTATCTTAGGTATAAGCCACAGGGACCTGTCCCAACTGTCACTGCTTCTTATTTTTAGAATCCAGTCTTCAAGTTGTAACAATCAAGGACCTGAGCCAGAGCAAATATCGCTGATCATGACTTCAGCCTTATGTCTGAGGCGCCTGCGTTAACTAAAAGAGGTTAGGCTGACGGGGGACAGCTTGACGCGTCGCGGGGGATATTTTGCCTCAGGCAACGAGCACTGATGTCATCCCTACTGTCAGTTGTTCAGGACAAGTATATGGTACTACTACACTACTACTGGTTCCATACCAGGTATCTGCCTATTGTTTGATATGATCAAAGGAACCGTCACATAGTGATATCATACCCTGTGCAATGAGGATAGGTTTCCTTTTCCCGCGGTGGGGATTCTCAGTTGTAGTCTCAACAAGCCAGTTCTTCGCGACTGCATGTAGAATTTGTTGGGATAGATCTACAATTGGACAGCTCAATGCATACATGAGATCATACGTGCTTCATAACGCATCTACCCTAGATTCCTACATGTATTGTCGATCCTTAGTAATTCTGAGTCACCGTGAATCACTGCGCAAGTAGCTAGTAGAATTGCATTCTTCAAGCATTGATTCTATATCATATCACTTGCAGGAGGAATCTAAGCCTTCTTGTTGTTGATGCCAAGGAGCTCAACCTCGCTGGAATCCAGTCAGCTCTGCTATCACTACCAAGAAGCGCTCACGGAAGAACTTACAAGATGAGGGTAGAGTTGGGAGGGATGACCGGAGGGAAGCCACTAAGATAAAAATGTCAGTTCACCAACACACGAATGTCCAGCCGCAGACACATACCGAGCGCCGTAGCCGTAGTCACTATCAAATCACCCATTAGCAAACGGAATAACAATAGCATTACGTGAAGCTCAGGCAAACTTACGGGGTGATGGTGAGGACAGCCTTCTCGCCAAGGCTCATCTGAGGGACACCCTCATCCCAACCTATCCTCGTCAGCAGGGAACTTCTTAGCAGATTCGTATCAAAATACCCTTGATGACACGGCCAACACCGATCTTGGTCTGGAAGGGGGTATTCCGGTCGACGGAGCTGTCGAACCTAGGGTCCACCGTCAGTATTCTAGTCTCGTAAAGCAGGGAATCCTGCTCATATAAACAGTGGATATTTATATCGGCACCTACTTTCTGCCGTCGGCCAGTCTACCGGTGTAGTGGATGGTGACCAAGTCGTTCTCCTGGGGGAAGTCGACGCCGTTGCCGGCGGACTTGAGTTCCTTGGTGACACCCATTGTGATTTATGGTGGAGAATAGAGGAAGATGGAGAGGGATCTGGAGTTGAATTGAGATCAGGGGAAGGAGGAGATTTTTGCTGGGTTTCCATATCCATGGCGGGGTATTTCAACAAAGCGCGCGCAGGAGTGGGGGCACACCCCACCATAGCAGCTTCTCATTGGCCAGGATTTGAGAAAGGAGGATTATATCATCCTTGGCATGTGATTGGACATCAGTCATCAGTGATGAGCTACAGGTGATAATCTGCGACTCTTGGATGGCATTAACTTGTCATTATTGCTAGAAATTGACTGCAGACTTTATTAGAGTGAGGGTATATATACATTCGTCATCGAACATTACTCTAAAATGACTTTTTGATCCTCAGTTGCCCATATTTGGTGAGAATGGCCGACCTGAACCTAGACTCGGAAGGATGTTAGCAATGCAGAAAAGGATTGAGCAATGGTCAACTCTAGACTACGAAAGCACCGGCTACAAAGCTGATGTCACTGCGTTCGGGTACCTACCTAGCAAGTCGGATCGAGAAGCTTCTGCCAATGTACGACTACCTACTTGTGATAGTCATCCATAGCCCAGTCTATTTTGTGACTGCAATGGCATGTATCTGTGGCGCTGTGACCTTTGGGGATCGAAATCGTAGTCGTCAAGGGTTACGAAGAGCCAGGGGCGTCGCGGCGGGTGTAAGACGCAGGTAGAGATCTTGACAAATCTGCCACGCTCGCTCTGAAGCAGCATGCCGAGAAGCCATGGCTAAAAGCCAGTGCATGCCTTTCTGTATGTATCTTGAAATTAGCTCCGGATCCTTGGCTCCGTGCTTGACGCGCGACTCCAACTCGATTAACAGCACAGTAAGGGCTTGCATGAGATCATGCAAGATCCAGCACCAGGGAGCAATGCGACCCAGCCAGATAATGTCAGGCTCATCGGGCAGCTGCGAGAGCATATTGCAGGCCGCATTGGTGCATATGTCCGACATTTCCTTCCATCTAGAGCTTGTAGCTTGACCACTTCGCTCCCATCGGTAAATAGCGATCCGGGCAATCGTCATTTTCGCACTATAGAACTGAAAAGCAAGGCACCATCGCTGCGTCTCAAATGCCGGGTCCTCCTGAGGGCGACTGAACTGGAATGGCTCGGGCAGCCTTCTTTGCAGGGAATTGATGGTCGAAATAAGGTCTTCAAGGGCTTTTTCCACCGAATAGCTGCTCGATCTGGTGGCTCCGGGAGCGTAAAGCAGGTTGATTGCGCATCGCATAATCCGGGCTATTTCAACTGTGAACAAAAAGTAGAGCGAGGCGCACGGCTTGACTGCGGGAAGATAGGTTTCGGCATCTGGAGCTGTTGCCGACAGCAGGGATTTGGAAAGAGTACGTCGAGCGTTGGCATCAGCGAGCAAGCGAGCGACAAACGGGTCCCCAAACTGGTCCTCGTCAAATGGCAGAGGCAACGGCGCCGTGCAGAACTGATTCGCCACGCTGTACGGCCGACCCGTCATGACTGACAGAGTAGTTTCGAGGACGAAGATAGACCACCAAACTCGACAACGAAGCTCTTTCGAGATATCCAAGGTATCTTTGCTAACACTCCTAAGATGAAGACCCATAGCGATGGCGGAACTAGTTGCCGTACCGGATATTCTCCAAGCCCTGTCAACGGCGGTGTGTCAGATGAAAAAGCACATGACGAGTCAAATGGGTCATATTCGACGTTTTACTTACCTATTCACTTGGCCGATCATCAGCAGGTAGAACGCAGCCAGTCCTTCGATTTGGGCTTGTTGAATGTCAGGGTGAGGAATCAACGGAGTGTCAGCCAATCCCAGCATGCTTCCTCGGGAGAAGTATTTCGATGGGTCGTGCCATTCGTCGGCCTCATCAAAATACGTCAAGCTCAAATGCTGCGCAGCAATGGCAAGGATCAAGTTGAAAATAGCCAGCCATTTCTTTGGTGGCTTGGATTGAGGCTCGGAGTATAACCGTCGATACTGGTGTAGAAATACCGTTTTGCCGACGATGGGGAACCCAGGATGCAGCATGTCAAAGTAAGTGTCGAGAAGTTCGTCTGCGACGTCTTGCGGAGGGATTGTAAATGGCTGCACCGAGAGATCAACCGAGAGCTCCTCATCATCCAGGAAGTAATTGACGGAGCTGATCGAGTCTGCGAAGAAGTCGTCTGGAGTCTCTGAACCTTGCCATGAGGCGTCCTCCAGCCGGAGCCCTTTCCGCTTCAGTTGATGCAACCATGCCCTCCCGGAGTGTGCACCGATGAATCCTGTCGCCTGACTCATCTTGTCCTTGTTGAAGTCTTCTTCGATGGGATCGGTGGTGGGAGTTACCAGGCGCGTAATAGCATCGACGGATAGATCGCTGCTCGGGCTGAGACTCGCCGGCGGCGTCTCCTGTGGAATTGTTAGTCCGAAAACATTCAGTTTCGAGCACTCAAAAAGGGCACTTACCTTTTCTAGAGCCTTAGCGATCAATGGCTGGTCCTTGGCGTCGGCTCTCGGTTGGATTCGCCGCAGCAGACGGTAGTATTCCTTCAACCGCTGCTCGAGATCCTGTAGTCGCCTCAAGATGAGGTTAGTAACACGCGCAATGTGCCGAAGCATTGGAGTAAGTGGCCTACCTTGCGACCTTCTCACTCTTGTTAGCTACAAACACGCACTCGATTTTCAGCTCACGGCATCTCTCACAAGGCGATCCCCCGGTGCATTTTGCCTTTTGCTCTCTGCAATTAATACAAGCTCTGCTCGCTCGACGGGACCGAGGCTTTGCCGTCGTGATGCGCGGTAAGCTGACCTTAGGTAAAGATTGGCTTGATGATGATTGTTGTGGACTATCGTCTTTCTGGATACCGCCTGGCGAGCCTTCTCTTTGACGCTTCCGTATCTGAGAAGCCTGACTCTGGGGGTCCATAGGGAAAAAAAACTAGTCAAGTGATAGATTCAGACATAATTGAAAAACTGCACGACAATTGCTTTATGATTTATCATGTATGATGAAATCATCCAGACCTGGAGAACCGCATTTAAAGTACCGGGTGAGTATATCATGCCTGAGCCACATGTGTATGGGCCCACAGCTGCCAGCTGGGCTGTTTTCCTTTTTGGGGAATTAGTTTCCAGAAGATTCTCGTCGGCTCCCCGAATT